TTTCATCTGGCCTGCAGCGCCCCCCCCTCCCCCAGCGAATTGTGTCCTGCCCAGCCCTTCCACCCACAAGGGTGGGAGCAAGGTGCCCACGCATATGGACACCCCCAAACTTACCCTACTGCACCTCGCTTCCACCTTCTTGGGTGAAAAGGCCTGACCCAGCCAGCAGCAGCTTCTGGGCAGAGCTTCTGCTGCAGCCATCCCATAGGAACCTGCCTGGCTTCTCCAATGTCCAGCTTGCTCCAGGCAGCAATTAGGGAAGCGGCAGGGCTGGGGCCAGTGTGGCTTTAGCCAGTACTGTGCGCAGGTATCAAGACACACAGTCTACCTGGCTGCCTCAATTATAGGGGCTGTGCAACTGCAGCTCCAGCACTGGCAGTGGGGAAGCCTTGCACTGGAGCTGGCTGCCTTCTGCGCCCCCTGCTGTGCAGGTCCACAAACTCTGCCAGGAACCCCACCCCCTGCTTCCCTGCAGAGTTCAGCGTGGGGTTTCCCCAGTGCAAGTGCAGGAGCTGCAGGCGTTCTGCGCAGAGTCCCCATGATAGAGGCAGCTGGGCGGTCTGTGCTCCACACACCCACGTGCAGTGCTGGCTGGAGCTGTGCCCCATTGGGCACCAGTGCCTGTGCCAGGCACAAGCTCCCTGAGATTCCTTGCTTGCTGTTGCTGGCAGCGGGGGCTGCATGCCATATGCAGGAGTGTCCCCACACCCCCCCACACTCCCTCACACCCCACCCTCCATCACACCCCACAAATCTCACACACCTACATCCTGCTGCCCCCACAACCCTCCCACATATACACAGCCTCAGCATACCCTGTGCCCCCCACACACGGCCACACCCCCTCACAAACCCTCACCACACACACTCCCACACCCTGCCATACACCACCCCAGCCCACCATACACCTCCAACCACACTCCCCAACACAATATAAAAGACTGAGACTTTATTTTTGAGTTGTTATGCAATCCCTTCTGTATACAGTACACAAACACAAATCATGACAGATATTTTTTGTAATAAAATGTTATAGTAGATTTCATAGTTTCATAGTTAGTAGGGTCGGAAGGGGCCTGAGCAGATCATCAAGTCTGACCCCCTGCCATGGCAGGAAAGAGTACTGGGGTCAAACGACCCCAGCAAGGTGATTTGTCAAGTCTCGTCTTAAAGACCCCCAGGGCAGAAGCCAGCACCACTTCACTTGGAAGTTGGTTCCAGATCCTAGCCGCCCTGACAGTGAAGTAGTGCCTCCTGATGTCTAATCTGAATTTATCCTCTGCCAGCTTGTGACCGTTATTTCTAGTCACTCCTGGTAGTGCTCGGGGAAACAGGGACTCCCCCAAAACCTGCTGGTCCCCTCTGACTAGTTTGTAACAGGCCACTAGATCCCCCCTCAGCCTTCTCTTGTGGAGGCTGAACAGGTTCAGGTCCCGTAGCCTCTCCTC